CTGCTCCCCCCTTGCCTGCTCGACGGGCCGCGGCCTCCGCGCGCGCGCACGGTCACACCGCGCCGAGCGACGTGCCGCGGGACGGGGGCAGGCGCGGAAAGGAGAGTGTGCGACGGAGAGTGCTGCTGTATACGATCTAAGGCGGTGAGGCGACGACTTGAGAGTAATGCCTGCACGGGATACACACATAGGGAAGAGATTAGGGAAGTGGAATAACGCGTGGGAGGGACGATGAGAGAGAAGGAGAGAGGGAGAGGAATGAGATACCATTAGCGGGGCATAAACTGGGCGGAAGGGACGGGGTTGGAGCCAAACGCACGGGGGGAAGTGGCGAGGGCCGCGCGTTGCGGAGGGGAGAGCGGAAAGGATGTGGGGAAAGGGAGAGGGAGTTGACGAGAACGGCCTTGAGACAGAATGGCGAAGGAGGCATCGGGTGGTCTGAGGCGGGGCCATGGATGCGCGGCAAGAGACTGAAGATTACTATGTTCGCATGAGTCTGGACCGTGCGAGAAAACATGGAAATTGGGTCTGGATGCTGGGTGGCGGAGAGGAATGCGACGCACCGTACAGCACCGGTATGCGGCACGCGCACGACTGAGGCATTCCGCGACAGAATAGAGTTGCGCGTGAAGGGAGTGTGCGGGTGGGGAATGAGCGGATATGGAATAGGGGTGAATTGGCGAGGAAGCGAGAGAACATCTGCAATTAGGTAATTACCTTTCGAGAATAACAGCTAACAGCAGCCCGCGGGGAGGGTGATAGGCGAGGAGCTACAGTGGTGGAGCCATGTACGGACGACACTAGGCTGAATTGCTGCCTCGACAATGCATGTTGGGTGGCCATGGCGCATGAAGTTGAAATGTCTGGGAGACTGGTGTTGCCGTGCATAAATCAGTTCGAAATGACTCCTGAAAATCGGGACGGGAACCTCCTGGGGATTGCCGTGTGGGAAGAGATTGGGAGCACCGAGAGGGAGTGGTGCGACATGGTTGGCTGCTTGTGGGACACGCCACATGGATGGCTGTGGCTGATTTTGATTGGAAACAGAAAATCGATGGCGGATTGGCCTGGAATTTTCTTCCTCCTTTACTGAAGTCAACTGTGCCAACATTCTTGAATAAAAGTAATTGCACCTTTACTCTAATCACACCAACACTTTTGGGATTAGAATGGCACTAATGTCTGAAACGGTGAAACTATATTTTAGATCTAAATTCGAGTATTTAAAATAATATTATGTTACTAATTTGATGATTCAGAACTAAATTAAATTTCCTGTTATATAGTGTGACAATTATACCATCCAGAAGAGGCATGACAGCTATTTATAAGCAGAACTACTTGGAAGATAACATTACGGGTACTGAATTGTACAGAAACGCAGAACCTTGGTTTCCTATGGGGAAGGAAACCGACGAAGCAAGAGGACCTGCTTGACATCCTTCATGCGATATGGCGGTACACGGGCAGGAAACAATAGTCCAATATATTTGAGTGACTCCTATCAGTACTCCAAGTCTTAGCGGAAACCATTTCTGCTAAAGAATAAGCAGTAAAATAAAGAGAAAAGGACCACATGAGATCATGACAGGCACATACCGTGTTCAAAATCTTCCAACTACACATAGTCCTCGCCAATTTCACTAGGGCCAATTCACCCCCCTGTGTATTCGTTTCTAATTTACCCGAAATTGAGGGTTGTTTCAAACAGTCTGGCTTTAAGGAAAGCAGCGACTGGGACTGGGCACATGATCCAGCGGGAAAACAAAAAAACCATGGTCGCAGCGAAAGATTCAGTCTTTGCGTTGCGGTCTCAACGTCATACGGGGCAACATCGATACTTTACAATGCCACAAACTAGCCTCTAGTTCGTGGGCGTCTGATTCCTGAAGCCAAAAAAGGTCAGTTCGGCTTTAAGTAAGGACTGATGGGGCGTGAAATTGGCGAGGGCTAGGTGTAGTCCTTTTCTTTGTGCATCCTGAAGTGGCCCAGCTAGTTAGCTGGTTCACTTCCGAAAGATGAGGTCCCGGGATCAAATCCCCCCTGCGGCGTGTTCTGCCAGCCCCCCAGAAGGGGGTTACACAGGTGCTCATCTGGGAGTGGATAGAACAACCTCGTTGACCCAGCGAGGAGTGTAAACAAATGGGGAGGCGGGTTACGACCGACAGCCAGGTGTGGTTAACACCCAGAGGGGTTTCCCCCCCTCCTTTAAGGGCGTGTAAGATCCCCGTGCACACAGAATCGGCCATCAAAATTAGGTGGCCGTAGCGAAAGTAACCATTTCGTGATCGGTTTGCGAATCTCGTCAATTTCAACCATCAAATTTGTGATTTGATGGCCGGAAAACTAGTCGACTCTTTTCCGACGCGTGGTCGACTTCAAATCGGCCATGCTGTCGACAGCAGCTGTCTACAGTGAGAAACGAAGTCGCATACGCTGCTACAGTGAAATTGCGACATCGTATTCATGTGTGCGACATCGTCGCACCAAGTCGTAAAAAAGGACAAACCAAAATCTTCCACCTCTGTTACAGCGGCCAGCAAAACCGTGTCAGATTTGGAGGCCACACTGAGTTGGCCGAAAATTTGTCGACCTGGTGACGACTAATCTGTCGACCTTCGCGAAAGCTTTGTCGACCAAAATGGTCGACAAAATTCAGCCAAAACGTGTGCACGGGGATCTTACACACCCTAACCTTAACCTTTTCTTTGTGCAAGTTCCTTGACTCCAGAAGGCTCCAATGTTACCAGCGGCATCCGAACAGAACGCAAGGTGACAGCCCCAGCCATCCGAGGTTGCATATATGCTGCTTCCTTTGTCCCTCCCTTCCGTTCCGTGCAGCACCACGGCACGGCCCGACTGCCGTTAGAAACAGCAAGATAGGGCGCGTAACTTTTTCACTTTTCATCGTCCGGACGGAGGACCCGTACGGACTTTTGTAGGGTTACGTATTTCGCCTAGTTGCGTTATTGAGTTCGTGAGACCCCTTGCGACATCGCGATCGTCCGTACGAGTTCTGACACTTTTCTGCTTGTTCATCGTCCGTTCTACACTCCTGACGTCGTCCGGACAGCATTTCGGACCGTCCGGAACTCCTGCAACGTCATTGGTGCGCGAAGCACATTTTTTATCAGTTCTGGCGACTCGGTTTCCTGCTCGCCAGAACCACGTTTTGACGGAAAGGCAACACAGAAGTTCCACTATCGTCCGGACGAGCACACAGACTCACAGCACTACAAAAAAGCGAACTCTCTACAGTCCGGCTTTTTTCTGACACAACTTCATGCATGCGAAGCGGCTGGTTTGCTGACGAGGTGGGTTATAAGCGTTACTGTTTCGCTCAAAATGCAGTTTTCGCAAGTGCAAAAAAGTGTCATAATAGGGGTACGGACTCATCGTCGTCCGTACCACATCCCCAACCGTCCGGACGGAGCTCCGTTCGGACGATTTGGGGCCCCCGTCCGGACAATACCCGAAATGGAAAAAGTTACGCGCCCTAAGCCAGTGCCGTCCAAGACTGTCACTCCACACACAAACCAACCCCAAAGGGACATCTTTATAAAAAAAGAAGTGCTGTTTGTGGCTAAAGAATGGGACGGGTCATAGGCTTCCCACCGCATGCTTCATGCTGCGGCAATCCCCTATGCCTTCTTGGCTCGACATCGTCATTCCGATTGCTGCTACTATCCTGCACCCCTAATTCGCTTACGTTGCCCATAGGAAATCAGGAGGTATCGCCTTTCGGACGGACGTTTCCTGTACTCCAGGCTCTGCGTTGTCGTCTGTGGGTTGAACCCATCAGATTCGTACCACTCGGTTTATGAAGCAGCGCCTATAACACTCAACCGTTCATGCTGCACCGCCATGATTGCCGCGTGTCGCGCTCCTCGCTACGTCGCCCGAGACAGCGATGAAGCACAGCCAGCCGCAGCACCACCCGCAGCAGCATCAACAGCAGCAACTATCCGCATGCCGCGCCCAGCAATTAACACCGCCGCCTGTCGCGGCGACGACGCCGATTCTCGAGAAGCAGTCCAGGTAGGGCACGAAACTGGAGCTCGCGCGAGCGTAGCTGGAAGTAGACCGAGAGGAGAGCGAATTCGCGTACCGTGGAGGATTTTGGAGCTCTAAGGAGGGTGGAACACCACTCGACCCCAGGCATCCAGCCGTCAGGCGGCTTCCAGCCGTCAGGCAATTAACCGTCCAGCCGTGCAGAAATCAGCCAAGTGGGCTTTGCGCTTGCGAATTTCACTTGTAGGGGAAAGTCGCGACCCTAGTACGAGTACACGTGTATCGTCGCCATGCTAGTCGCTCCTCGAGATCCTTCTTCTCAGGCTTTCCACGCCGGGACGTCAACCCAACGGGTTCTAGCACCGAAGCGTATGACCTCGACTGCCGCGCGCACGTTGCACGCCGATGCACGCAGGAGGCAGCACATGTGATGTGTATTGCCAGGATTTGCGTGGTGGTAACACTGGGCGGGTGGGTTCCCGCGAGCATGAACCATGTCACCCCTGTTCGAGTCGAGGTCGTCTCGGTAACACCAGGAGAGACAGATACTCATCTGAGGAGAAAGGGAGGGGAGAGCGGGGCGAACGGGAAACGGAGTTTGCATGGCTTTGGTCGGGTTCGCACAATAGACCCTCTTTCTCCTCTTCCGCCTAGCCTCCGCTTTCCCCCCACCTCTCCCCATCTCTCCCCCCTGCCCCCTTTTCCCCGCTGCTCCCTCTTCCCGTTTTCTTCAGATTCCGGCTGCACCGTGTTCATCCTCACGCCATGGGTGGAATCTTCTCGAGTGCAGCCGTCCATGCGGCGCGTGTCAGTCACCTTCAGCCGCGCAAGAAGAACTGGCTGGTCCATGCTGTTGCAGCGCCCCGCGGGGACGTGGCGCAAGGATGAGCGGACCTGCGCCGCCGCCACCCATGGGTGCTGCTGTGCGGCTGTTGTTACTGCTGCTGCCGCTGCTGCTGCTGCTGCACGGTCTGAGGTGGCAGGGTGCCATGGCGCAAGTCACACTCAATGACGATGATTGTATGTGCGTGTGTGTTCGAGTCGAGCGTGCGTGCGTGCGCGCGTGTGTGTGTGTGTGTGTGTGTGTCTGTGTGTGTGTGTGTGTGTGTGTGTGTGCGTGTGTGTGTGTGCGTGTGTGTGTGTGTGTGTGTGTGTGTCTCTGTGTGTGTCTCTGTGTGTGTGTGTGTGTGTGTGTGTGTCTGTGTGTGTGTGTGTGTGTGTGTGTGTGTGTGTGTGAAAATGTGTGAATGTATGTATGCCATGCTGTATGATGCTGCCGCTGCTGCTGCTACTGCTGTTCAACGCTGCCCGCACATCTCGTAACCTCAAACCCACTTAACTTCGCCTGCTGCGCATCTTCTGAGCGCACCGCACCTCACCGCACAGCACCGTTGCTCCTCCTCTTTCCCAACCTGCCCGCCCACGAATCAATCCGTGGGCCGTGCACTCCCTTATGATCCCATCCCGTACTTTCCGCCCTTGCCCTTGCACCCACCAGGGCCGGCGATCAAAGAGATGAAGGCATCTCTGACGTTTTCAGGGTGGGACACGTGGGTGCAGGGCAACGTGTGCACCGCCATGACTGGTATCACATGTGATTCCAGCGGCTATGTCACCCGCATGTGAGTGAGCCACCCATGCTGGGACGGCATAAGGGGAGAAGTGAGGATGCAGGGGTGCATAGAGTTGGGAATGCATAGAGAGGGTTTTTATTAAGGGAATCCAGTGCATGCACATGGCTTTTGAGGGGCTCCAAGACCATTGCACGCACATGGTTCATCATGCTATCTACTCCTTTCCTCATAGCTGTTTCTTGTTCCTAGTACATGCCCGCCTGCCTTTCCCTCCTTCCCTCACGTATCTGCTTCCGTCCCTGCTTCCGTCCCTGCTTCCGTCCCTGCTTCCGTGCCTGCTTCCATGCCTGCTTCCGTGCCTGCTTTCCCGTGCAGCAAAGTGCTGGACTGCTCAGGCTCCCTGCCAGCAGCCATTGGAGACCTCTTACATCTCGACTACCTGTCAGTGCATGTGCTTGGGATGTGCATGGGGGCGTGGGGTGTGCTGTATCCTGTGACATGTGCCGTCTTCCATGTGTTGAATGTGTGGTGTGTCATCATGTCATGCCATGTCCCTGCACGTGCTGTGTGACGAACCATAACATTCGCATTCCTTAGTGCTTTTTCTTTCAGGGTCTCATTCAGGGATCTGGTTACGTTACATGAATGCATGGACTCATGTGACGATCATGTGTGTGTGTGCATGCCCATGCTATTTTCCCCTCTCCAGTAGTGTCCTGGGACCTATATGCGCTGCCTTGCGCTGTTCCACAATTTTTACATTAGCTCTGCCCAACCATGCCCGCACACGCTCACCTGCCGCCACATCACATCATCACATCACATCACATCACATCGCATCACATCACATCACATCACATCACATCACATCACATCACATCACATCACATCACATCACATCATATCACGTCACATCACATTGCATCACATTGCATCGCATCGCATTGCATCGCATCGCATTGCATCACATCACATGCCATCGCATGGCACCAGGTTCTGTGTGTCAGACAATCTCACAGGACCCCTCCCAAATTCCATCTCCAAACTTATCAACCTGAAAACGCTGTGAGCCAGGGCGTGGGAAAGAAGTAGGGAGGAACAGGAGAGGGAGGTAGTGGGGAGCGTTGGATGGAATAGGTCTGTGTGTGAGGCGGGAGGGCTTAGAGGAGGACTTATGGCTAGCGTGGGATAGGGGGAGGTGTCAAGGGTATTATCAAACAAAAGCATACCTGCTCCTTGAGATTCGATTTGAAGAAGCTCTTCTTGTTGATCCCTTCCTTTAAACTATGCTCCGCAATGAAACCTCCATGCCAGTTCTTGTTTTCCACTCTTACATTGGCATGCAGACGCCTTCCCACACGGGTTCCTAAACCAATGGTCCGCGCATTCATTCCCAAGGCACTAGGCCTCTGCTGCTGTCGGATCGGAAGCAATGTGCCAGCTGTCTTCCTCAGCTACTTCTCTTTCCACTCTTGCCCCCTTCCCTCCACTCCACCCTCTCTCCTTCGCCTCGACATGTGCATGTGTGCGTGTGCGTACGCATGCATACCAGACTGCTGCCGTCAACAGGCATATCGGGGAGCATTCCTAAGGAATTAGGCAGCTTGATCAGCCTGGAGTATCTGTAGGCAACAGTACAACACATACACACACACACACACACACACACACACACACACACACACACACACACACACACACACACACACACCCAAGCCAGCCGGTAACCACCTTGACAGGCGGGCGGCTTTTGAGAATCAAGAAAAAGCTGCCTGAATTCTCAAAAGCCGCCAGCATTTAGAAAAGCTGAGGCAGACTGTAAGCAAAACAATACAAGGACATGCTCCCCAAGCACGCAAGCACCTTTGAAGCTCCACCCACTGCACTGCACGCACACAACACAGCGTAACACACTCTTTCAACTCGCAGACTGCTTGCACTCCCACTCCCGTCACCACCACCAGCACTGTCAAGCGGAGTCCAGTTCCCTTGGTGTATCTTTAGCTCTCTCCCTCCCCCGTGAAGTCTTTGAGAGGTCTTAGAAGTCTACTATCCCAGGCAAGCTCAGTAGTCTCCTGGTGTGACTGAGGTTCTCTTTCTCCGCTGCCCACCCAGCCATGCTTGGCTCTTTTGAAACCTAAAACATTGAGTGATTTTCAGACCTTAATGTATGTTGTGTTTGAGTGCTGCATGAATATATAAATCTCAGAAACTTGAGATTTGTGTGCTCACTCATTTGTGCGCACGACTTCAAACCGAAACACAAGAGCCTTTTCTCCAATCTCGGAAAAGGGTGTTGGTGTTGTGGAGGGGAGGATCAAAAAGAAGAAGAAGAAAAAAAACATTAATTCCTCATTTTCTCGTCTCTCCAACCATTCGCCCTCGGCTCCTGCCGCCTTCGTTTCTGACCCTCTCCCGTCCCCCCTCGTGGCACCATCCCCACCTGGTCCTTCCCTTCCCACAGCAACTTATACGGCACAAGTATCGAAGGCTTCATCCCCACCTCCGTTGGTACCCTCAACCCCTCCAGACTCTGTTGACTTTTGAGTCGACTCAAAAGTTCCTCCCTCCTCCCCGTTGTACCATCCCTACCCGGTCCCTCTCACAGCAACTTGTATGGAACAAGCATCGAAGGCTTCATCCCCACCTCCATTGGTAGCCTCAACGCGCTCAAGATTCTGTATGTACGCCACCCTGTGCTTGAATTGAATTGAACCGACTTCTTACACTCCACCCACCATACACTCTGTACAGTATTCTGTATGTCCACTCTATGCCATGCGTAGCTGTTCCGACTTTCTTTCCATCACATGCAACGAATGAATATTTCGGTCAACACCCTCCCCTTCCCCGCCTCCACTTTGTTGCGGCTCATCTCATCAAAACTGTGCCTGCTTGCGCTCTCTCCCCCCTGCTTCCTCTCCCTCCCGCTCTCTTCCTCTCTCCTCTCAACGCCGCTGCTCCCCTTCCCTTCCAATTCCTCTTCTCCAGTCCTTTTCCACTCCCTTCTCTCTCCCTTCTCGTTAACCCTCTCTAACCTTCCCCTCTCCCCTCCCCACGAATCTTCTCCCCTCCCCTCCCCTCCCTCCTCCCCGCGCCCCTCCCCATCTTCCCCCCATCCCCAACATGACCTCAACTCAACGAGCAGCAATCTGGCATACACGGGCCTGTCAGGGAGCCTACCGGAGGAGATTGGCGGGTGTTCCGCCCTCTCAATGCTGTAAGCCAATCCTCACGAGCACACGAGCACACCATTTCAATCGCCCATTCAATTAAGCTGGGCTGGTGAATGGTTTCACGATCGTATGCTGGGTGGAACCCAACTTGGCAGTACTGCAAGCCCATGCCTCCAGAAGAACCCTCCGAACTGATCTCTCGCTTGCACGTCCTGTGGTGGGATCAAGTTCCTGTGCGTGTGTAGTACACTCGCTTGCTCATTTGCTGTATAACAGTCGTTGGCCCACCACTCCACCAACTGTGCGAGTGAGGGATCAGATAGGCCAAGGACGAGAGTCTGTGGCCTCCACAACCCACCACTGGTGTGATGTGCTCCCCCTTCATTCACATTCACATGTTGCCGCCGTTCGTTACGGGCTCAACCACTCTCCGCACTCTTTTTTCCCCAATCTCCCCTGCCCTGCCCTGCCCTGCCCTGCCCTGCCCTGCCCTGCCCTGCCCTGCCCTGCCCTGCCCTGCCCTGCCCTGCCCTGCCCTGCCCTGCCCTGCCCTGCCCTGCCCTGCCCTGCCCTGCCCTGCCCTGCCCTGCCCTGCCCTGCCCTGCCCTGCCCTGCCCTGCCCTGCCCTGCCCTGCCGCGCAGCTCTCTGTCATCCACTCCAATCTCTGGATCACTGCCCACGACCCTCAGCAAGCTCGTCAGCCTCACCCAGTTGTGGGTCATATCATCATCATCTGCTCTGCTCTGCACACACACTCCCTCCCACACAGAAGCACGCAGACGCTCATAACCGAGCATGCGCACACGCGCACATGTGCACGTGCACACACACACACACACACACACCCCTCCGACACGCACACTCACTCGTCGTGCTCATGCTCGCACACACATTACACGCACATGCACATGTCAACATTGGGAAATGGAGAGTGTAACAGCTACCGTAGAAAGAAAGAACGTTTGCAGTCACAACAACAGAGCCAGGCACAGCCACACAGTGGCAACTGCACCCTCTTATTCCTCCCATTACCACCACCATTTTTTCGCCAACCCCACTGTCCACACAAAGAATCCTCTTTCCACGTCACGTCAGGGCCCAGCCCAGTCATGTGACCTCCACCCTTCCACCACACCCACCTTCTGCCCCTCTCCCAAACCCTTCAACTTTGTACCACTTCTCTGGCTTTCCCTCCGGATTTTCCTTCTCCGCGTCCTTCTGATCCCAAGCAAAGCCCCACACGCCCGTTCCTCCCCATCCCCATCCACCCCTCCCCATCCCCCTCACGCTCCCTGTCCCCCCCGCAGTGACTGCCAGAAGTGTGCGCTCTCAGGGGAATTGCCTTCTACTATGTCCTCCCTCGGCACTCTGCAGTACCTGTGAGTGCTCAACTCAACGAAACGCATGAGAGTGTTTTTTGAGGCGATTCAAGGACCTGCCGAAAGGGTGCGCTCTCTGAGTCACTGCCTGCCCTGCTTCTACCATGGCCTCCCTCGGCACGCTTCAGTACCTGTGAGTGCTCAACTCAACTCAACGCATGAGAGCGCATCAGGCCAGGCCTCTTTTGACCCGCCTCACAAGCCCGTTCTGGAGCGCCTCAATCGAAACCTGTTACCATGGCCTTCATCGGCACTTGCTGCACTACCTACGAGTGCTCAACTCAACTCAACGCATGGGAGCGCAGGGGCGGGAAGCAGTGGTAGAGGATTTTTGCACAGCCAGAGCTCATCTAACCCCAGGAACAGGCAAAACAGCATCAGCTCCCCTGTCCCCCTCTCCTCGCGTCTTCTCCCCTCGACCCAACCCAACCCCTCGACCCCTGTGTGAGCAGCAACCTGAACATGAATCAGCTGAGTGGGCACCTGCTTAAAGCACTTGAGGGCCTTACCAGCCTCCACACCCTGTGAGTGACATGACATGACACGCACTCACATGTACACACACGCACACTTGCACAAACTCGCACACACTCGCACACAATCGCACACAAACACACACACGCGCACGTGTGAACAGCACACACACACATGAGCACGAGACCGCCCTCGCACACACACACACATACAGACGAAAACAAATACACACATACCCACTCCGTTTTCTCCCTCTCTGGCCCCTCTATCTGGCATTTCAACCCCGCTACCCCACCCTGCTCCCCCTCTCCAAAAACCCCTCCACGAACCTCCTCTGTCGCCATCTCCACTCTCAAAGGCGACCATTTTCCCTGGCTTCTAGCACGTCCCATCTCCTTCCCCCCCTGTCTGTGCTTTCCCCCTTCTCTCCACCGCTCAGACTTGCCATCCCCTCGGAACAAACCTCACTTATGTCCCCCCTTTTCCACCATGAACCTCCAGCGCTATATTCCCCGTTTCTCTTCCTCCCTCCCTTCCCATCTCCCATCCCCCCTCCATTCCACCTTAACTTCCCCTCTTCCTCCCTTCCCCCCTCCCTTCCCCAATCCCTTACCCCCTCCCTCCCCGCTGTCTGCCCCTCTCCCGCCACCAGGAAGCTATCCAACAATGCCCTCAGCGGGTCTTTGCCACGCGGCATTAGTCGCAAGTTGACTCTTGATCATCACAGAAATTAACTTACCTTTACCGCTCCCTCCCGTCTTTCTGCCCCGCTCCCTCCACCAGCAAGCTATCGAACAATGCCCTCAGCGGGTCTTTGCCACGCGGCATTAGTCGCAAGTTGACTCTTGAGTCATCACAGAAATTAACTTACCTTTACCGCTCCCTCCCGTCTTTCTGCCCCGCTCCCTCCACCAGCAAGCTATCGAACAATGCCCTCAGCGGGTCTTTGCCACGCGGCATTAGTCGCAAGTTGACTCTTGAGTCATCACAGAAATTAACTTACCTTTACCGCTCCCTCCCGTCTTTCTGCCCCGCTCCCTCCACCAGCAAGCTATCGAACAATGCCCTCAGCGGGTCTTTGCCACGCGGCATTAGTCGCAAGTTGACTCTTGAGTCATCACAGAAATTAACTTACCTTTACCGCTCCCTCCCGTCTTTCTGCCCCGCTCCCTCCACCAGCAAGCTATCGAACAATGCCCTCAGCGGGTCTTTGCCACGCGGCATTAGTCGCAAGTTGACTCTTGAGTCATCACAGAAATTAACTTACCTTTACCGCTCCCTCCCGTCTTTCTGCCCCGCTCCCTCCACCAGCAAGCTATCGAACAATGCCCTCAGCGGGTCTTTGCCACGCGGCATTAGTCGCCTCACTGCACTCACATGGGCGTGAGTTAGAGAGGACTGGAGGGTGGGGGGGAGGGAAGAGGGGGTAGAGGGGAAACCGGGGTGGCTTTTGAGCACTGACAAAGGTGACACGTTTGAGCATCCTCAAAGGTTCCTTCAGGCAGGCAGGCCAGCAGGCCAGACATGCATCATGCTGACTGACATGCTTCTCACTGCATCATACTGACTGACATGCCTCTCCCTCTCTTTCGCATTCCCTTTCTTGTTCTTGCTCACCTGCTGTTCCTGAGCTGAGTGTGCATGCATGTGCGTGTGTGGGGAAGGGGGGACGGGGGAGGGGGTGTTTTCGTGCACGCTCGCGTTCATACCGCATGCAACACGGTGTCATGCAAATGGCATCATGGAGATGGGATCATGGACATGGCATCATGGACATGAGGTCATGGACATGGAATTATGGACACGGGATCATGGACCTGTTGATCACGGGCATGGCATCACATTCATGGCAATGCATGGCGATGCAGGGAGCTATCGAGCAACGAGCTGAGTGGGACAATACCTGAAGGCATCGGTGCGCTCACCAACGTGCAGCAGCTGTGAGATTCCATCCTTTCATGCCATGCCACACCACATGCCACGCCACAACCATGCCATGCCACGCCATACCACACCATGCCACACCACGCTATGCCACACCACGCCATGCCACGCCATGCCATGCCATGCCATGCCAGCGATGCCATCCCACTCACGCCATCGCACACCATGGGATCCTCCCCACCCCATCGTGTCTTGCTGCATAACACGCACACCCTTCTTCTATCCTGACCTCTCTCCCTGGCCCCTAACCCACCCGTCTCACACCACAAAACCATCCTCTCCCTCTTCCTTTTGCTGCTCCGCATTGCCGCTTCTCCCGCCCTCTGCCTCAGTCCCTCGCACATGGTCCTTTGCGCCCCTATCCTCCCTTTGCGCCAATAATCATCTCACCGTCCTCCTATCCCTGCTCGCCCCCCTCAACCCCCGCATGCCATGCGTGCAGTTCTCTGGATCACAACCAGCTCTCAGGCCCGCTGCCCAGCACCATCAGCGCCCTCTGCCTCACTCCCTCACACACAGTCCTTTGCGCCACAATAATCACCTCGCGCTCCTCCCATCCACGCCCACACTCTCCCCCTCAACACCCCATGCCATGCGTGCAGTTCTTTGGACAACAACCAGCTCTCAGGCCCGCTGCCCAGCACCATCAGTGACCTTGTCCGTCTCAAGGAGCTGTCAGTGCTGCTCTCCCTCTCTCCCTCCCTCCCGCCACCTGCCATGCCATGCCATGCCATGCCACGCCACGCCACGCCACGCCATGCCATGCCATGCCATGCCACGCCACGCCACGCCATGCCATGCCATGCCATGCCATGCCATTCCATGTTACGCCACGCCATGCCATGCCATGCCATGCCATGCCATGCCATGCCATGCCATGCCATGCCATGCCATGCCATTCCATGTTACGCCACGCCATGCCATGCCATGCCATGCCATGCCATGCCATGCCATGCCATGCCATGCCATGCCATGCCATGCCATGCCATGCCACGCCACGCCATGCCATTCCATATTACACCTTTGCAGCCCATACTGCATCTGTGCCATGCTATCGCCCATGGCATATCATACTTATCCATTCATTGCCCATGATCTTGTGTACAAGGCACGCTGCACTGCAGCACCACCTCCTTTACCATGTGGCACTACTTCTAATCTTACACGCCTGTGACAACGGCTTGCCTCTTCTTCTGATGATCTTACAGGCATGCCTGCAAGAACTGCATGCCTTTCTTTCGACAAACTGTGCTCGCTTGCTCTTCTGTGTTGACCCCATCCCCCTCCCTCACCTTCTCTACCTGCCTGCCTGCCTCCCTGCAGCTACCTAAGCTTCAACGAGTTTTTTGCGTCGCTCCCCTCGGAAATCAGTGGCCTCACTGACCTGCAGATACTGTGAGTGTGTGCATGGCATGGCATGGCATGGCATGGCATGGCATGGCATGGCATCACATGGCCTCTCGTGCCATGCATCACCAGTGACCTGCCATTCACCTTCCTCGTCACCCGCACAATACATCCCCATTATCCCCCCATCATCCCCATCATCCCCATCATCCCCATCATCCCCATCATCCCCATCATCCCCATCATCCCCGTCATCCCCATCATCCCCATCATCCCCATCGTCCCCATCGTCCCCATCGTCCCCATCGTCCCCATCGTCCCCATCGTCCCCATCGTCCCCATCGTCCCCATCGTCCCCATCGTCCCCATCGTCCCCATCGTCCCCATCGTCCCCATCGTCCCCATCGTCCCCATCGTCCCCATCGTCCCCATCGTCCCCATCGTCCCCATCGTCCCATCGTCCCCATCGTCCCCATCGTCCCCATCGTCCCCATCGTCCCCATCGTCCCCATCGTCCCCATCGTCCCCATCGTCCCCATCGTCCCCATCGTCCCCATCATCCCCATCATCCCCATCGTCCCCATCGTCCCCATCGTCCCCATCGTCCCCATCATCCCCATCGTCCCCATCGTCCCCATCATCCCCATCATCCCCATCATCCCCATCATCCCCATCATCCCCATCGTCCCCATCATCCCCATTATCCCCCCATCATCCCCATCATCCCCATCATCCCCATCGTCCCCATCGTCCCCATCGTCCCCATCGTCCCCATCATCCCCATCGTCCCCATCGTCCCCATCATCCCCATCATCCCCATCATCCCCATCATCCCCATCATCCCCATCGTCCCCATCATCCCCATTATCCCCCCATCATCCCCATCATCCCCATCATCCCCATCGTCCCCATCGTCCCCATCGTCCCCATCGTCCCCATCATCCCCATCGTCCCCATCGTCCCCATCATCCCCATCATCCCCATCATCCCCATCATCCCCATCATCCCCATCGTCCCCATCATCCCCATTATCCCCCCATCATCCCCATCATCCCCATCATCCCCATCGTCCCCATCGTCCCCATCGTCCCCATCGTCCCCATCGTCCCCATCATCCCCATCGTCCCCATCGTCCCCATCATCCCCATCATCCCCATCATCCCCATCATCCCCATCATCCCCATCGTCCCCATCATCCCCATTATCCCCCCATCATCCCCATCATCCCCATCATCCCCATCATCCCCATCATCCCCATCGTCCCCGGCACCTCTCTCTCCTCCCCCGCCCACGGCATGGCAGGGCCATGTCCAACTGTGAGCTTCTCGGCTCGCTGCTTTCGAGGCACCTGAAAATTCCCTTCACATCCCTCACACACACCCCCCTCACCCCCCTCACCGCCCTCGCCCACCACGGTTGCCGTGGCATGGCAGGGTCATGTCCAACTGTGAGCTGCTGGGCTCGCTGCCATCGGAGCTTGGTATGCTGCCCAGCCTCGGCTTCCTGTGCGTGCTGCCTATCCTGCCTAACTCACTCCTGCCTGCCCCGCCCACATCCCTACATCATGTTTCTGCTTCACATCCCTGCCCTGCCCCACATTCCTAACTCACTCATGCACCTCCTACCTTACTCCACCATCCCTGCCCCTCACTATCACAATGCCTCCCAAGGAAAGCTCCCCCGTCACTCTGGTGCTCTATTCCATTCCATCACAACCGCCTCTCTCTCATCATGTCCATCTATCTGCATGTCGTTTCCTCTGTCTTCCCTTTTGAGACTCCTCAAGAGCCAACTCCCTCAACCCACCCTCTCTCACGCCCACCTTCCCTAATCCACGTGCATGCTGTTTGTTTCCTCTGCCGCCCTCCCCACCCGGTGCTATGCTTCACTTCACTGCCCTTCTCTGCCTGCCTGCCTGCCTGCCTGCAGGGATCTGAGCTTCAACTCCCTCTCTGGCTCGCTGCCCTTGTATCTCGCCAAGCTCACCGGACTCGATACCTTGTCAGTGCCCCTTGCCCGCGCCTGCTCCCCTTGCCCGCGCCTGCTCCCCTTGCCCGCGCCTGCTCCCCTTGCCCCCGCCTGCTCCCCTTGCCCCCGCCTGCTCCCCTTGCCCCCGCCTGGTAGTGTTGTCCCTGCTGCCCCTGTCATGATAACGTATCCATCAAAGTCCGTGCATCTTCAAGTGCACGCGTTGCATGCTTATCCATCCTGCTGCCTGCCAATCAGCACCTCTTCCCCAACGTATACTCCACTCCCCTCTTTCTCTCCCTCGATTCCACTCCTCCTATAACACTGCTATTCCCCATGCGTCCTCCCCCCCTCCCCTACCCCCGGCGGCTCCCTGCAGAGACCTGTCCCACAACCAGCTGTCAGGGTCAATTCCTAAGGACCTCCTCCCCACCAACCTCAGACGCCTGTCAGCCCCTCACCCTCTTAGTCAGCCTGTTTGCCTGTTTGCCTCTTTGCCTGTTTGCCTGTTTGCCTGTTTGCCTGTTTGCCTGTCTGCCTCAGTTGTCCGCTTGTCAATCGTTCAGTCCGTCAGTCTGTCAGTCGTCTAGTCTGTACGTCTTCAGTGCTACGCCACAACAGTTCGCCTTTCCCCCTTCCAACCTCTACCCCTGCGCAGCGCACCACCGGCTGAGTGCATGTACCTCTCTCTTTGCCGCCGCACAAGCCTCCACATACCATGCTCCTTCTATTCCCTTCCTTCCCTCATCCTCTCCCCGCCTTCTCCTCCTCTCCTCTCCCAACACCCACCCACCCACCTCCTTCACTCCTCTCACGCACCACGCAGGGACCTGTGTTGCAATGAGCTGTCAGGGACAATCCCCAACACCATAGGGGGGTTGCTGCAGCTGGAGCATCTGTGAGTTGATGGAGGAGGGGGTAAGGAAAAAGGGTAAGGGAGGTGGCGTGCGGAGGGGAGGGCTCACCGGTACATGCTCGTTGGGTGCTCGTTGGGTGCTCGTTGGGGTGGGGTTTCCTCTCCACTGGAAAAAACTCTGAAGTGGAAAATTTGGGCAGAAGCTCTGACATGAAAAATTTGGGGAAATACATATGAAACGGGGAAATACATTAAAAAAAAAAACAACAACAACAACAACAACAACAACAAAACAAAACAAAAAAAACAAAACAAAACAAAAGAAAACCAGAACTTCCAAGTGACGCCTCGCATCAAAACAGAGGACTAGAGGAGGCCTGAGAGCTCTCTCGCTCTCTCTCTCCCTCACGCCCATCTCTGCTTCCTCGGCCCTCCATGCTACACCACCCTGCAGGGACCTGAGCTCCAACCGCTTCAGTGGCTCTATACCCACTGAGATGACGGATCTCATTCAACTCACCCTCCTGTACGCCCCACTCCTCCTCTCCTCTCACGCTGCTGCTTCCGTGTCCTTCGCTTTCTCTTCCCGCGTGGCTGCCTTGCGATTTTTTTCTCAAGCAGCTTCCCTGCTGATGACTTAGTTGGTATTGTACGTTTACGGTGGTTTACGTTTACGTGACTTTACGTAGTAAACTTACGTTTACTTACGTGGGCCCAAAATGGCTTTACGTTTACGGTCAGCCAGAAACATTTCTGGCTGCCCAGAAAGATAAGAAATCATTGGACTAAGTGGCTGCATGGGAAGCGCCTAATCTATCACTAGCTTGGTTCTTCTACGCCCAAGCATGTTAGCTTATTAGTACATCAACTTACAGCTTCCCTAAATCTACACGGACATGTCGCAGCCTCTCCCACCTCATATCAGTCAGATTTTCTCGTTTCGCGGGCAAAAAAACATTTTTTGCCCTGCCCGTGTGACTTTACGTAAAATTACGCGTAAGAAAACGTAAAGGTAAACTCAAGCGTAAGTTTACGTTTACGTGACCCAAAAAAACGTAAAGTACCAACTAAGCCTGATGATAAGACAGCGGACCCTCTCTCTCAAACTGTCCTTATATAGTCCCCCCCCAAGCCACCATTGCTTGCCAAATGGCTCTACCTCCTCCACGCGTGTTCACATGCAATGCAAGCACGCACCTGATTCACACACCCATACACAGACTCACTTGCTCAAGCCCATCGGATCTCCTCGTCTCTTATCCCATCTCCCTCTCCTCCCCAAACCCCACCACCCATCACCCTCCTCCCTATTCCCATCCTCATCCCCATTCCATCCCTATCCCTATCCCTATCTCTATCCCCACCCCCACCCCCACCCCCATCCCCATCCGCATGTCCTCCAGCAACCTGCGCAGCATCCAGCTAACAGTCTCTGTACTGCTGCCCATTCCCCACGGCATGCAGCACTACCAGCTCGACAACAACTACTTCTCCTCCGCCTTCCCCTCCCAGCCACACTGCTCCTACTTTCTCGTGCCCTGAGGAGCTGGATGCGCAACCCCACTTTCTGATATTACCTCCCTTCTTTCCTCAAACCCAGTCACCCCTCACCCTCCTCCCCATCCCCGTCCCCACCCCAATCCCATGCCCATCCCCATTAACCCAGCAACCTGCGCAGCAACCAGCTAACAGGCGCCGTGCTGCAGCCCATCCCCCGCAACATGCAGCACTACCAGCTCGACAACAACTACTTCTCCTCCGCCTTCCCCTCCCAGCCGCCCTGCTCTCCCGGCACCATCATAACCACGCGCAGCAACTGCGCGGTAGCAAAAGACGGCAGCCTTGCTCCCACCTTCTCGTGTCCGGAGGGGCTGAAGGACGCGCAGAGGCGGGTGGAGGTGTGCCGGGCGTTCTGCGGGCTGTCGAGTGAGAGCCTGCCGTGTGGCGGGCATGGTGTTTGCTTCTTTGACGGGCCGAATCGTGTGCCCACATGCGCGTGTGACAGTGGATACACGAACGGAGGTGTGCCGGGGTCGTGCGTTCCTGATGATGGTGCGTACAGGTTTGCAATGTGGTGCGGTGTGGTGGTATGATGTGCGGTGGTGTGCAGAGCAGGGCTGCGGTGTGCTGTGCGGTGGTGAGCGGTGCGGTGCGGTGCTGTGCTGTGCTGTTCAGTGGTGTGAGGCAATATGGGTGCAGCGTTTTACTGGTGATTCAATAGGAATAGGACCTGTCAGCTCATCATTCATTGATGAAATATGGCATCTCAGCCTTTGCCAGTTCTATCCATAGCATCCACAGTTCTGCTTCAGCTTATTTACATCTTCATTCTGTTCTCCCTTCCGTCCCTGCCCTGCCCTGCCCTGCCCTGCCCTGCCCTGCCCTGCCCTGCCCTGCCCTGCCCTGCCCTGCCCTGCCCTGCCCTGCCCTGCCCTGCCCTGCCCTGCCCTGCCCTGCCCTGCCCTGCCCTGCCCTGCCCTGCCTGCCCACCCTGCTGTCCTTGCATCCCAGGCTCTCTCCCGTTCATCAACACCACTTCAGACTCCTCCCCACCGACCACACTCTCCCTCAGCGGCTCCGCATCCCTCCTCCCCTCCGCCTCCATCCTCCTCTCACCAGCGCAGCCCACCAACTGGGGTGCTGCCTTCCTCCCCCAGCCCATCCGCCTCTTCTCCTTCGCGCTCCTCTCCTCCTCCTCCTGCGGCCGCTCCCTCCCCTTCTCCCCTTCCTTCGCCTTCACCATTGATGCACCGTCTTCTTCTTCTGCTAATGCATTTGCCTCTCTCGCGTTCATAGTCTCTGCGACCGGTGCCGTTGCCGGTGGCAGCAGCAGCAGCAGCAGCAGTGGGTCATACCTGCCAGAGTCCGAGCGAAGCATTGCAGTGGTGTTTGATGCTGCGCCAGCAAGTGCCAGCAAGCCAAACGGCATCGTCTCCATCCAAGTCAAAACCTCCACTAGCAGCAGCGGCAGCAGCAGCAGTGGGTTCACCCCCATAGCCACAACCACCGCCCCCACGCCTCTCAACGACGGTTCCCCAAAGTACGCCTGGATTGACTACCGTCCCTCCTCTTCCTCCGCTGCCGCTGCTGCACCTGCCGCCGCCACCGCCGTCACTGCCACTGCTGCTGCAGCTACTGGCTCCCTGCGCGTCTTCCTCTCCTCCCGCCCCTCCCCGCGCCCGTCCAAGGCTGTGCTGTCAGCGCGCATCTCCCTGTGCGCGCTGCTCAGCCCCACAGAGAGCGCCTCTGCTTTCTTCCTGGGCTTCGCTGCTGCCTCTGACAACCCCCCGCTCGAGCTCACGCTGCTGCAGTGGAGCATTGCTGCAGGTGAAGGGCTTTGCTGGGGGAGGGCGGGGATGGGGGAAGGGGAGGAGAGAAGGGTCAAGAGGGGGTGGGTGAGGAGACGGGGTTGATAGAGCGAATGAGGTAGCGAGCAGAAGGAGAGGCAGAAGCGGTGGATGGGTTGTAGGAGGGTGGTGGGCAGGGGGGAAGGGAACAGAGACATAAGTCGTTTTGGGGAGACGTGGCGCATTTGTTTTTATGCATTCGTGCTGTCTCATAATATTAATGTACTTTGGTTCTCCATTTTCTCCCTGTCCATGCACATGCAGGTCTCCAAAGCGTACCAGTCGACTCAGGTAACACAACACTACTCGCCCCATTCCTCCTCCCTCCCCTCCTCCCTATCCTCCCCCTCCTCCCTCTCCTCCTCCCTCTCCTCCTCCCTCTCCTCTTCCCTCTCCCCGTCCCTCTCTTCCTCTGCCGTTCTCATCCATTCTTCACCATTCACAGTCGCGCACACCACCACCACAGCCACCTGCTCCACTCTTCATCACTCTCTCCCTCTACACACTCTCTCGACACACCCACACCCTCTCCCCATCCTTCCCACCCCACCGCACCCACATCCCCGCAGCCTTCCCACTGGGCCTGACCCTCTCAGGCGACTCCCTCTCCCCGCCCCACGTCAACCCCTTCTTCCGCTATGCCAGCGCCGGCGTGCTGCCCCTGCGCCCCAAGGGGGACAGTGGCAGCACCAGCACCACCACCAGCAGCGGCAGCAGCAGCAGCAGCAGCGGTTCCGGCACGAGCAACACACAAGACGCAGAGCCAGAGCAAGCATGGCTGGTCTCTCCCTGGTCCTCCTGGTTCCGCCCTGACTTGCTCTGGCCCGTGCGGCAGCAGGAGGCGGTGTGCGGCGACTGCTGGGCATGGGCGGTGGTGGGCAGCATAGAAGCCGCCTACAGCATCATGGCGAACCTCTCGGTGGCACCGCAGCTGTCAGCGCTGCAGCTGCGCTCCTCCATGCGCGCCGACTGCCAGGGGGGCTCGCCCTCCCAGGCCTTCGCCTTCCTCCTCAAAGCCGCCCGTGAGGGCAAGGGCGTGGGAGGGCTCGTGGAGGAGAAGAGAGCAGCGGTGGCGGAGGGAGGGAGGGGACAGGGGAAAGGGAGGGCGGCTGGGAGGAGGCTAAGGGGTTCAGCGGGAAAGGGGGAGAGGTGGGGTATGGGGATGAGTGAGGGTATGGTGCGTGCGGTGGTAGAGCATGGGCATGGAAACCCAGGCGGCGCTAGCGTTGCAGCAGCTTTTCCAACAGAGGGAGGAGCAGCAGCAGAGGGGGCACGGAGGCAGCTGGCAGGGGGCGCGGGCGGTGGGCTGTGCTCGCCTTTGTTTGCAGTGCTGAGGAAGCTGTTTGGCATCACGTGCAAGAGCGGCGTGCCGGTGAGTGCTCCCCACGCATGTATTGATTGAGGTGGGGGGCGGGGTTGGGGGGGCGGGAAGGGGGAGGACGGGAGGAGGAATGGAGAGAGGGGGTGGTGTGACCGTGTGAGAGTGTGCATGCGTATGCACACTCCAAGTGCTCTCAACCCTTTCTCTTCCACATGGTAGTGTTCCAACCAATCCCACATGGTGCGTGTCTCGTCTGCCGCCTCGCATCCCATGTACGACTCATTCCCGCTCCTGCCATGCAGATGGACACAAAGGAAGAGGGCGTTTCTAATCAGCGGCCGCGAGGTGATTTTTGAGTCGAATCAAAAGCCTTTCCGCCTCGCATGTGCCACTCATTCCCTTCCCGCCGCTGCCATGCAGATGGATACCAGAAAGAAGGGGTTTCAGATCAGCGGCTTTGGTCATTTCTTAGTAGACTCAAAAGTCTTTCCACCTTGCGCACCACACGTTCCCGCCCCTGCCATGCAGATGGATACTAGAAAGAAGGCCTTTCAGATCAGCGGCTTTGAGCGCACGTCCTTCTACGGCTGGTTTGGGCTGCTGCTGGCCGTGCAGCGCCAGCCAGTGGTGGTGCACATAGAGGCGTCCGCTGACTCATTCAAGCAGTACGACGGGGTGAGCAAGCAAGCGCGTGCGGTGAGAAAGTGCTGCTTGCAGAGATTTAGAGGTAGAAGACCAGGGCCCGGTGGACCAGGGCCCCATGTTTTGAGACGTCTCAAAACTCGTGGACTAGGGCTCGCGGACTCGTTCATTGCATGCCCAGGGGCTAAATGTAAATCCATGCCTCATGCCCATGCCATGTCCTTGTCCCTTCCACCAGCTGTCCAAGTGATAGCTCCCCTCCCGCGCTTCTCTGTGTCCCTGTCTCTCGCTCTCTCTCTCTTCGTTTCTGTCCCTCCACATCTCCGCATCTGTCTGCCTCTGTGCCCCTGCTTCTCATCCTCGCTCGCGCCAGCTGTCCAAGTACCAGGACCCAGCGTGCTTCACGTACAACCTGAACCACGTGGTGCTGCTGGTGGGGTACCGCCTGGTGGGGACAGATGACACAGCCCCGCACATGGCGCCGCCCTTCTGGATCATCCGCAACTCGTGGGGGGCGGACTGGGGCGATGGGGGCCACATGCGCATGGACATCCAGGGGGGGGATGGCGTGTGCGGCATCAACTCACTGCCAGGCCTCTACCCTGTTGTTAAGTGTGAGTTGATTTGAAATGAATGGACTGGACTGGACTGGACTGGGGTGGAGTGGAATGGAGTGGAGTGGAGTCGAGTGGAGTTCCTCAGTCCTCCTCCATTAACAGCATTCCTATCCTCCTGTGCCTGTTACGTGCCTCTATTGCACTTTTGCCACTCTATTCTTTCCCTGTGTTACTCTTACTCTTACCCTCTCATGCCTCCTGCTCGCCGTTGCTGCAGCCCCTCAGTTTCCAACCACAGCGTCTCTTCACAACCTCCCTTCCTCTCCTAACCCCGCAACTTCTCCTCCCCCACCCCACCCCGCACTTCACCTGCGCTGCTGAACGATGAATCTTCCAGCACCACACGACCCGTTCAACACGCGGTTTCTCCCCTTCCCTCCCTCACCCCTTTACCCGAATCCCCAGCGCCACGCGACCCGTGCAACACGCAGGCGCGCAGGGGAGCGCTGGGGCCGGTGCTGAACCCGTGCGGCAACTTCACGTGCCGCGTGCAGGGCACCACCAACCGCTGCGACTGCACTGATCCCCGCTTTGTTGAGGCGCTCAATGCCGATGGCTCACGCACCTGCGCCTATGGTGAGGGCGAGAGGTGGTGGGGGATGGGAGGTGGGGGTGGGGCTATGGGTGAGGGCGAGGAGGATTGTAGTGAGGGTCCGTGCTGTTAGTGAGCTCGCGTGCAACTGCACCGACCCCCGCTTTGTTGAGGCGCTCAATGCTGACGGCTCACGCACCTGCGCCTATGTTGAGGGCGAGCGGGGGTTGGACGTTGGGTATGGTGAGACTGTGGGGCTCTGTTGAGAGCGCTGGGGGATTGTGGAGAGGTCGCGTGCTGTTAGTAAGCCCGCCCGTGAGCATACTCCTGAATGTCCTTTCAAAAATTTATCATACTCCTGACTGCTGTAATTCGGCTTGTTCGAGCCTCTGTTTTTTTTCTTTTTAATACCTTAAAAAACACCTTCCTGTTGCTCCCACTGCCACTTCTGCCGCTGCTGCTGCTGCTGCTGCCGCCACCGCTATAACCAGAATACGCGACATATACTTTTTTTTTCTTCTTGTGTTTCCCTGCAGTGGACGTATGCAGGGCATCGTTCCGCAACCCATGTGCGGTGGGCACGTGTGTGAATGACGGGGCGGGGTCGTACTCGTGTGTGTGTCCACCGGGCTTCAGGCAGGGCACCACCATCGATGGCACCTTCTCCTGTGCTCCAGGTACCTTCTCCTGTGCTCCAGGTACCTTCTCCTGTGCTCCAGGTACCTTCTCCTGTGCTCCAGGCACCTTCTCCTGTGCCTCAAATCTCCTCCCTCCCTTCTATCCCTCTCCCATCCTGCTTCCCTGCCTCATTCGCTCCACCTCCCCCATGCACCACGCTCTTTCGTTCTCTCCTGTGTTTCACTCCCTTTCACTCCCTCTAGTCGCCCTCCCAACCTTATTCCCACCCCTATTTTCTTTCTCCTCTTACCAGGTGACACCGACGGCACCTACACGGTTCTCTCCCTAGGCCTCACATGTGCTGCCATCCACCCCGTCTACGGCCTCACTCTACCGCAATTCACCGCACAGAACCCGGTACCACCGCACTCGCATGGCGTTCTGCCGCCGCCAGCTGCTGTCTGCTTGGCCTTGACTGTACCTCATACTTCCTTTTCATGCTCTACCCATGCGTTCATGTGTTAGCCTTCTCTTCCTCCTCATGCCCCGAGCAACCTCCCTCACTACATTCACCTGTCTCCTTGGGATCCTCTCCACTCGTCTCCTCCCATCCTCCTATCCCCTCCTCATCCCCTCCTCCTTCCCGTCCTCCCTCCCATCCTCCCTCCCCTCCTCCCCTCTACCCCTCCCCTGCGCCTGCCAGAATGTGGATTGCAGCATGGCGCTGCCACTGAACACGCATCTGAACGTCACACCGCCTGACGGTCTCGCCCCGTGCTCAGTCTTCTACACCACTGACCAGGTGCAGCCCCCGCACCTTGAGTCGCCTCAAAACGCTAGTGACTTTTGACTCGACTCAAACGTCCCTGTCGTTGCTCATGCCCTTGCACTTGCGCTTGCCCTTGCACTTGCATTTGTACTTGCACTTGCCGTTGTGCTTGTGCTGCATGGTTTCCCACTGGGTATTCTCAGCCGCATGCAACTCATAGTCGCAAAATAGCCATGCGGGCATGCATACACATGCTCCTTCCGCCGTTGGAAATCCCACCACTTTTTATTGCTACCCCCCCTCCCCCCCCCGTGTCAACCACTCACAGGGTGACACGTGTGCATCCCTAGCAGCCTACTTCCAGCTGACCAAGAACTGCAATCCCAGTGGCACCCCATGCATTGAAGCCCTGCTCGCACTCAACCCAGGCCTCAACTGCACCGCCCTGGACAGTGGGAATGATGCTGGTGCTGGTGGTGGGGGTAGTGGTGGTGCGGGTGGGGCTGTAAGTGTTGATGGCCTACAGCCCAACCAAGTGGTGTGTGTGGAGCGGCGGGGGGAGAGAGACGCAGCAGCAGGGGGGCAGGTGATCCCGGTGTGCTCGCAGTACTACCTGGTGCAGAGCGGTGAGACATGCGAGTCCATCCGTGGTGTGCCCTCCCCACCGCTCTCCCCGCTCGAGTTCTTCCGCCTCAACCCCGGCATGCGCTGCTCACGCCTCGTGCCCAAGACCTCTGCAGACAGCTTCACTGGCTTTGAGGTGCGCTCTGCTGCTGCTGCTATGGGTGAGCATCTGTGTGTGCAGCACCGGCACAAATGCTGTGTTTCCTCATACTGTTGCGTGTTTGAGTGTGCCTGCATTAATGTATATATTGCTGTGCGGCGCATGTGGGAGTTTGTGTGTTGGATATGCGAATGAGCACGCGTGTGCGCGTGTGTACGTGCCAGCTAGTTCACCCATGCCCAAACACAACACGTCTTTCCGAATCACATGTGCTTGGTTTCTCTACCTTGCTCTCCTGTCCCTCTTACCCTCGTACTAGCATACTTTCCTGCTTTCCCTCTTGCTTCTGGCACTTCCCACGCCAGTCATTCTTGTGTCCTTGCCGCTCACCGTTGTTATTTGCCAAAATCATTCTCCCTCCTGTTCCACTCTTTCCCGTTATGCAGGCATGCATACAGAGCCAGTCGAGCTACACCGCTGGGACCTGCCCGTTCTCCAATTTCTACATCGTTACCAACAGTGATCGGTGCAGCATGGTTCAAGTCAAGTACTTCCGAGGCATCAAGGGGTGTTACAAGAAAATTAACGGCTATGATTGTCTGGACAAACTGAAGCAAGGGACTCGCATATGCTTGCCGAATAAAAACAAGTTGAAGGATGGAAGATGTAGCATCTGAATGGGTGATGTATGCTATGTTATATATTTGTGTATAAAGCACGTTTTGCTACAGAAATACCATACAAGTGGTACAGTTCACCAGCTAGCTGTCGTGAAAAACAGGAGATCGTACTGTAATGCTTTCGCGTCACGATTTGTATCGAATTCGACCGCATTCGCATTAGCAGCAGGCTGCACACGACTATGTGAACGCTGATCTGTGTGTGTGACTAGTTTCCATTATCATCCCTCGTCATGTGAGGCGATTTGTGAGAATTCCTAGAAGTCATCCCTCCCCCCATGCTGCTCCGCCTTTACTAGTCAGCAGGTCCCGATGCAGGGCTCCGCGTCCCGCCGCGCCCGGCAGCCCGCGCTCTCCGCGTCCTCGCCGCTCTCCTTCCTCGCGCGCGTCTTCTCGTTCTTCCCCTCCTTCCGCCGCAACCCCGTGCGCCATTCGCTCATCCTGCTCGGCGCGCTTCTCCTCCTCGCGCGCCACCTCGCGCACCGCACGTCCCCCCACGCGCGCAAGCTGCAGGCGCATCTCTCTCTCAACCGCCAAGCTTCCGCAACCACCGCCTTGGGCACAGCCGGCGCCACAGCCGGCGCCGCCGGCGGAACCGTCAGCGCTGTCGGCGGCTTGAATTCCGGAAGCTCCCGGGGTTCCGCACATGACGGGGAATCAGAGATAAAGGGGAAGCGGGGAAGCGTGGGGACAGATGGCGCGGAGAACGGGGCTGCCGGTGGGTTGGGTGAAACGGGGGGAGCGGGGGGAACGGAGGGCGCGGGGGAGGTGCGGCTGTGGAACGGCGTGATGATGCCACGGTTGGGGTTCGGAACGGCGGGGCTGGGGGGGGAGACTGAGAAGGCTGTGGGATGGGCGCTGGAGGCTGGGTACAGGTGAGCGCAGGCAGCGACGGAGAGTAGTGAGCAAGCAGACGATTTTGAGTCGCTCTAAGGCACGGGCAGACGAGGGGGGCGAGGAAATTAGGGAGGCATACGCATGTTGGCTGACTGCCTGTGTTTGTGTGCCTTTTAAGAAGTCCCATATGTGTCCTCACCTCACCCTTTTCCCGTGCTGCAAGGATCATCTCTCGTTTCCTCTGGTATTTTGCTCCCTTCCCTTTCCCCTTTCTTCCTCTCCCCCTTATGCTCCCGCTCCCGCTTATTTCCCTCCCTCCCGCTTATGCATGTCTTGGTGTGGTCCTGGTGGTGGTGCAGGCTGTTTGACTCGGCGCAAGCGCGTGAGTGGTACCGGGAGGACGCTGTGGGGGCAGCCATTGCACAGCACAACGTCTCCCGCAACCAACTCTTCCTCGTCTCCAAGGTGGGCTGTGCTGCTGCTGCTGCTGCTGCTGCTGCTGCTGCTGCTGCTGCTGCTGCTGCTGCTGCTGCTGCTGCTGCTGCTGCTGCTGCTGCTGCTGCTGCTGCTGCTGCTGCTGCTGCTGCTGCTGCTGCTGCTGCTGCTGCTGCTGCTGCTGCTGCTGCTGCTGCTGCGGCACCATGGACACGCCATCACGCAGCAATTAAATCAACTCATCCACTATCCGTCACTTCTCTCTCCCCCTCCTCTAATTTCTCCACCACTCCCCTCCCCCTCCCCCCAGCTGCACCCGCGGCATCACGGGCACGCAATCACGCGGGAGCGTTTCTCCGACTCTCTCCGTGACCTGCGCGTGCCCTACCTCGACCTCTTCCTGCTGCACTACCCCTTCTGCTTCCCCGCCATCTGCGGGGACGCAGGGGCAGCAGCGGCGGCAGGTGCGGGGTGGCTGGACAGCTGGCGGGCTCTTGAGGAGCTGTATCAGCGGGGGGCGGTGCGGGCGATCGGTGTGAGCAACTTTGGGCGCGAGGAGTTGCTGCAGCTGATTGAACAGGCCGAGGTGAAACCACACGTGCTGCAGAGGTGAGGAGTGGCGATGGGGGGTGGGGAGTGGGGATGGGAGTGGGGAGTGGGGAAGGGAGTGGGGAGTGGAGATGGTTGTGGTAGTGGGGATGGGAGTGGTAGTGAGGATGGGAGTGGTAGTGAGGATGGGAGTGGTAGTGGGGATGGGAGTGGGGATGGGAGTGGGGAGTGGGGAATGGGGAGTGGGGTGGGGCGAAGTGAGGAATGGGGTGTGGGGAATGGGGGAGTGGGGAGTTAGGATGGAGCCTGTGTGGTCAGAGAAATCGTCATGTTTCCGTTTGACACGTAACTCCCTCCCTTTGCAGCATTGTCCTACCCATCCCTTCTCCCCTTCACTGCGTCACCAGGAACTCCGACCCCCTACGAGCGGACAAGGACCTACAGGCTCTCTGTGCGCAACACGGCATCGCCTACATGGCCTACTCCTCTCTCGGCTCGCAGCACCTGATCTTCTCCGACTCGCCCATCTCCCTTCCCTTTTCTACGCCCACCATTGCCAGAAAATCTGACCCCTTACGAGCAGACATTGACCTGCTCTTCTCCATCCCCCTCCCCCCCCCTACCATCCCCTCCCGCTCCTCACGCCCACCTATCCCAGGAAATCCGACCCTCTGAGAGCGGACAAGGACCTACAGGCTCTCTGCGCCCAGCACGGCATAGCCTACATGGCCTACCCCTCGCTGCCTTCTCACCGCCTGCTCTTTTCCTCTTCCCACACACCTACCGTCACCAGGAACTCCGACCCCCTGCGAGCGGACAAGGACCTACAGGCTCTCTGTGCGCAGCACAGCATCGCCTACATGGCCTACTCCTCTCTGGGCTCGCAGCACCTGATCTTCTCCGACTCGCCCTCCCACAATCCTGTCCTGGACCACCCGGTCATCAAAGCCATTGCTACACGCCATGCCTGCTCGCCTGCACAGGTGGTGCTCAAATGGGGGCTGCTCAAGGGACAGGTGGTTATTCCGAGGTCAAGGAATAGAGAACATATACGGGAAAATCTTGATGCGTGGCGGTGCGGGCTGGGGGTGGGTGATGTGGCGGAGATTGATAGGCTGGATGGGACTGAGTGACGGGGTGGTGGGAGTGGTTGGGAGTGGGTGGGAGTGGGTGGGAGTGGGTGGGAGTGGGTGGAAGTGGGTGGGCAGTGGGTGGGGAGTGGGTGGGGAATGGTGGATAGAGGGTAGGAGTGGGGTCAGGCACCTCACTCTGCCCGCATACGATGATTTTCTGTTGTGAAATGGGGTTTGGGACGGAGGCAGATGTCAGACGGTATATGAGCACAGGATAGTGAAGGGTTGTGTGAGGGGTGGGATGAGGGAAGAGGAGGTGGGAGGGGGGACGGAAGAGGAAGGGGAGTGGA